TGCGCATCGCCAACCGCACCGGCGCCGGCGCAGACGACAAGGTCTACTGCGTCAGCGTCAAGGCCAGCTCGCCCAGCGGCAACTCTGTCGCCCTCGTCGCGCACTGGCAGCACCACTGGTGAGACACGTTATCATTACTGGGTTGTGTCACGTCACTCACCATTTAAATTGGCACGTCGCTGAGATTTCGATTTCATACTGCGTGATCTTTGTCTATCGCGACTTAAATGTGCTGACTCAAATATCGTATACTGTTTGTCACCGTGTCACGCGTTTCATGCCAGCGTGACGTGTAACATGTGTGTGTGTTATCAGCGTGTCGCGGTACGTGTGCGTGGTGCTGTACCGGCGGGACGCGCAGCTGGCGGAGCTGCAGCGCGGCGCCCCCGCCTCGCGCCCGGACGACGCGTGCTCGCCGCACCACTTCAACGCGGTCACGGCGCCATACGTCACGCTAGTTGGTCAGTACTACCATATCAAGTGACTTTTATATGCTTTATATCCTATTCTGAAACATATTTCTTAATAACAAAAATAAAAATTCATTATTTTCAGCTAGCAACCCTGAATCGAAAGTTTGTCCGTACTCCGGTAAGTACAGTATACAAAGTCACCGGCACCAGAGGACCGCGCGATCACCTCCCGACAGGGGAGGGCGAGCGAACCGCACCGGGCTGTCGACCTTCAGCGTGCGGAATGCGACGGATGCGCACATGTTGCGCAGCCGGCGGCAGGCGGAGGCCGAGCCCGTCTGTGCCGGCGCAGACTATCACCGCCTCGAGGTCGGCTGCAACTCGCCCAAGAATATGGAGTTTTACTCCGCCTGCGAGAACAAAGACATGGTCACAGGTACGACTAAGCGATCGCTTTCTAAAAGAAAAAAAACTACACCGTATCCCATAAATGTCAATTTTCATCCTTAAACCGCATTGTCAAAACAAGAGTCAGTGTTTGTAACTGTTTAAATACTTTATGACCGAATTAAAATGATATTAAATATAATATATATTGTGCAGCATACACGTGTCACGGCGGGTGGTACGAGAACGGCGTGTCGTTCGTGGTGGCGACACCGGTGACGCGTCGCAGCACGGCCACTGCTTCGTGTCGCGAGAGGGCGGGGCGGGTGCGGGGGGCGCGGGCCGGCTGTTGGCGCGCTCTGCTGACAACTGTGACCGCAGCCCCGCACTGCACGCGCTCAGCGCCGCGCCCACCGGTACACACACACACACACAATACTAGACAACAGACTACACCTTTCATACACTACTGCCTTTATACATCGAGATTCATTGTTATGACTTAGGACCGTTTACTTCTTCTGTAACATTGCCGTGAAGACGACCCGAAACCGAAGCGAAGTCTATTTTGGAACTTACCGAGCAAAGTCTGCGTTCGATTTTCGTTACTATTAACGTGATGAGTTTTGTATTAACTGACAAAAAAGCTAATTCGCGTTATTATTTCCCCAGGAGAATGTCAAGATGTGCCCAACAGTCAGGCGGCGGCGCGGCTGTGTCCCGCCCTGTTCTTCCCAACGATAGCGTTACTACAACACGTCACCAACAGGTGATTCGCAATACTGACGTAGCTTGCTTACATCTTTGACGAATTGTCGTTTCAACACAAGAAGGTTATTTTATTTCACATCTCTCTTAAAAGGATTTATTAATTGATTAATTATCAGTATTTATTTTGTAATTCACTTAGAATTTGAAGTCAAGATGGAAAGACATTTGAACATTTTTTTTTTGTATAATAAAAGTTAAATGCCTTATTTAAAAACTGTGTGTATATCTTGTTGTAACCTTAATAACATATATAGATAGACCGAATGGCTTGAACAAATAAAAAATAAGTAGATAAGCACATTAGGTATGTTTCTGCGAAAATATGTTTAAGCATTTTAATCAGCAATTCGCAACACATGTGTTACAATAAAACATTAACCACTTTACATCTTTTTATGCGGAGAAAAGCAACTTACGATATGAAATATAATTTATGAATGATTTTTACTCTCTAAATACTTGTTTTTTTTTTTACTTACGAAAGTAAACTTTTGAAACCAAACTTGAAATCAATTTCTGCGTAGTGTTGCCATATTGAATTGTCTATGGTACTATAATAACTCATACTTTATGCAACAGTTGACAGAAAATTGGTGCAAATGGTTGTGAAATTTAATTGTTGTCACAGAATAAGACAACAATGAATATACAGATTGTTTTAATGTAAATTTTATAATTAATATTCTTTTTCCGCTGATTCGATCAAATTTATGTGTTATTAATTTTAAACGAGTGGTCAATCATAGGTAGCTGTTTCACTGTATATATTATCTACATTTTTTTGTAATTTATGTTTATTTTATTATTTAATCTGTTTCTTTTTTATATAACTACAAATGTTAGAACCCATGTGCGCCTAAATCTAAATCGATATCTAGGTGTTTTTATGTCACTGAAATTTAGATGTCTTTTCTTATTTTTTTTTTAATCGTTAGTTTCAGGATACGTACAATTTTTTTTCTTTTAGACAATCAGCGGATATTTTAAATGTGTATATTTGAAATGGTAACTGACAGTGGCTTTATTTTTCTAACAAAATTTAAATATAAGTAACCTTATCATAATTATTTAACGCGTGTAACATAAGCATCAAGTAAGACTGTATCACTTGAAAATATTTTTATTGTATACATTTGTTGAATATATAGCAATTAGCACTGTACGTAATTACGAGATATCATACCTATGTAAACATTATTCGTAAACACAAATTTTCACACATGAAGCTTAGAAATATGTACAAAATTATTGTTATAACGTTAAAACATGTAGCTAGAATAATTTAGCTGTATTTATTTATAAAGCTACGCGCAGACAAATTACAATTAGTTTATTCATTTTAGCTAAACAATAAAACATAATTTAATAAAAAAAAGTGCATTTTAAAATAAAAAAATGAGATTGTAAATGAAATTTATTTATTATTTTAAACATGATATTTCACAGCAAAGAAAGTTTTTTGATAATTTTTTTTGACGATTTCTTTAGTTTTATGAATTACTTATCTATTCCTATTTATACTTTACGTTTTAAGAATATTTAAGTTGTTATTTTAATTTTGCAAAGATGATGTAAATTGTGTTCGGGTGAGGCGAGGCGAGGCGGTCGGGGCCACCGCGCCGTCTCCGCGAGGCGCCATCTGATGGCTGCCGTAGGTAACATAGGTGCAAAGCCTATCTAAGGAAAGCAATGTTTTCCTTCATCAAGCAATACTAAAATAGTTAAGATTAGCTCTTACTATATACATTTAGGTAAGCGAAGAAAACGAATACTCATTTTGAGATAATTGTATAGTTAACTAGATAGATAAGTTTGAATTTAGATACTGAATCGCGACAGCAATAATATATTTGTATTTAAAGCTATTGAGCGTTAAATTTTTTAATAGACTGTAGTTAGTCAGTTGTGAATAATTAATTTAGTATTGTTATTTTTGAACGTGTCAGAGATTATTTCATTTTGGAAGCGGGTCTTTGTGGAAAATCAATTTCCTCCTATAGGCTTTCTTGAAAAGGAAATTGTTTCCCCATGAAGGCAGCGACATCGGGGTTTCCAGCGTGTGATATACCTAGGTACATTTAAATTAAGTATATAGTCGTCAGCATGAATTATAATAAACAGCGAAATAAAGCACTAGTTTGTTATTTACCTCATCCCCTTCCTATAACAAACATTATTATGAAGATATACTGATAACAATAAAACAGTCCTCTCTGACCATGATCAAGTGCGGATACTGTACATACAAAAGAATAACATCTACCGAGATACTAAAAAAAAAGAAGTACCTCACAGAATACAGCTATGAATAAAGGTGTGATATTATGAGAGATATCGCTGGAAATTTCGTTTCTTTTTTTCTCTATCCTATCTGATAAAAGGTGGCCAGGATTTCAGGTAGTAGGAATTGGTAAGTTTTTTTGCGATCAATAAGCCAGTGTTTGAGCATAATCCCATCAGATGTTCAGTGGTGTTGTAGTAGTAATTACTTTTTAACATTAATTGATTTATATTATTTTTGAGACCATTTTAACTTAAAAAAATCCTGGAAGTGAAATGCTATCTATACAATAAAACTAGTATAAAAATAAACCTCGTTTACTTATTTTTGTCTAGTCACAACCAACTTTTGATATTTGATTTAAGCGCCATCTAGTTTTTGTGTTGAACAAATTTTCATAAGAAAAGTTGTTTGTTGAATTATAGTCTATGGGTTACTAAGGTAATTTTTAGTTTAATTCATTTTCTATTAATACGCTTGCGTTTATTATTTAAATTAAATCTTCAAATATAAACAATAACCAAGGAATTTTAATAACAAAAAACACAACAAAACATCTATTTTGCATAATGGCAAGAATAAAATTCTTGTCAAATAGCGCTGCCAATGTAAGAAATAAATATGTCATGTCTAGTTTATTGAAGTAAATGCCAATGCACCGTTGCTTACTTTCTGCTATCCTTACTTTGGCTCAACGCGCGTCGTCGGTAAATTGGATTGTTATTGTGATATAAATAAACTGTGTTACACCCGTGTATAAGAAAACACAAGTGCTTGAATTAAAAATTAATCAGGTCACAAACTGGTTTAAAGATATAGGGATGCGGAGAAATATGTGAAAGTGACAGTCGCATAAAATCGACTCTTTTTCTTTTTGTCTGCATAACAATGTTTCGCATAGTTTCAAGTACCGCCACATAAATATTGTGCTGTGGACGTTAAAAATGCCGATGCTTACGTTCCGGAGGAACACCTGAGCACTATGTTTGAAGCGGGATAAACGCGATTTGCGTTATCACCAGTTAGAATGCAAGACGAGTGCATAGCGGAGGAGGTGAAGTGCAACAGCGCGTTCGAGCGACGTAAGCCCACCAAGGTGCTGAAAATCGCTGAGAGTTTCACGAACCTCGATGAAACTGCTAAGGCGGGACGCTACATTCGGGGCCCGTACTCGAAAACGGGCCGTAGGTACCGGGACGTGCAAGAAAACGGTTGCAGGACGAAACGCGGTTTGTGTTGTGAAAATGAGTGCGAGGAGTCAAGTGTTTGTGAGGATAGTGAAAAAATAGGTGACAAGAGAGTGACGGGGTCGTCGTGCACTGCGCTGCGCACCGCCGTCGCTGCCCTCTACCCCTTTGACGACTTCATCCTCGAGAAGATTGGAGAAGGATTCTTCTCTGAAGTTTTCAAAGTAAGTTATTGTTATATCTTAATTCATATTCATAAAACTGTTGAACGGTGTATATATTATGGAAAACATTTTCATAAAGTATCCTAATCATTTTATATTTTACTACACATAATTATCTTATATCCTCTACTTAAACTCTAATCCACCAATTGTTAGTTGAGAATTTTCTATCAAAACAACAGGCATTATGATGAATGGGTTTGTTTACATTGTAAAAGGGGCTTGTTTTGATGTGTTAACTAATTTTTGCATCAGCAAATGATTAGTGTACCAGAAATTTAAGTGTGCAACTAGAATGTATTTCTATTTCTAATAAACATAATATATTACAAACATAACAAAAACTGAAGTCAACGAAAATAAAGCCTGGAGTAGAAAAGAATTAGTTTAGCCATTTATGAAATTATAAAAGAATTTAAAAGCAAAAATCCTTTAAAATGAATGAACTAATAGTTATAATTTATTTCAAAACAGATTTATTTAGGAACTATACTACATTAAACACTCCAAGGTACTTTATTAAAATGTTTCGGTTAAAACCTTTTTCTGTTTTTTGTTGTTAATTGCAAAGAAATTCATTAAGTGTTAGCATTGTACAAATATTATTGCTTGCATTTGGAAGATTTGCTTGAACTCTTTTTGTTGTATGAGTCGTAATTCTGTTAAAATATATTTCTCATTTCCCTTTTTATTATTGTCAGAACACAGAGTAAGATATACATTCCAATATACTCTTTATTACAACTCGTTTATTCTCACATTCTTGTTGATTTTGGATGCTCGTAGATGATAATATTAAAATAAAATAAATCCCATTACATATAATATAATATATTATCTACTCCCATAGAGGACCGTATATTTTCAAAGTTCACAAAGTTAGAGTTCAAGATTAGGGTTTCCTAAAAGTTGTTTCTCTCAATTTTTAATACTCAAATTTTGTGAAATATACAGACATTTCTAATACTAACTGTCCATTGAAATGCATGAGACTGCTGTATTCATGTCAACGGTCTGCAAGTAGGCAAAATGCCAACATAAGACGCAATGTTAGGTGTACACAATGTCTAGCCAAAATCTTGATATCTGCCAAACAAATTGCAAAAGTATTTTGATAACAATCTATATTTATACTAAACTGAAAAGTTTGTTTATCTGAACTTCTTGGTAATTGCCGAACCTACAAATGTGATTTGAGTAATGCTTTTTGTATTTGATAGCTGAGTGAAGCACTGTTCCCAGTATCAACTGGGACAACAAATAGCAGAGTCACCATTTTTAGTCTATGCATGTTTTTTTAAATAATTAATATTATCTTTTATCTATTTAATTTATGAATGATTTAAGTGTAGGTTCATGCAAAATATGTATATGACTAGTCATGAAATTGAGCTTGAATTGTGGACCGTAACCCCTTTTTATTATTGCTACCACTATCTAATATCATTCTATATATAATAATGTTTAGTATGCTAGGAAACATCATATGGGTAACAGCATATAGGTAGTTTTTAATAGAGTATTAATAGTAAACAAAGATTGGTCATTAATTTATTTTTATAATGGCAGGTTTATTGATCTTTGGCAAGAATAATCATTACATAATTAGTATTTGTGAATTGTAAACATTGTAATTACAGTATTTTGTTTAATTTAATGTTCTACTATCAGGATTTTTTTCTGCAATTGTTAATGATAATATTTATGTAACTATTAAGCCTGCAACACAGCTACAGTTTTAGTACACTTGTAACTGTACAGGTGTTGATGTCTATCAACCTTTAGACTTTATCTACAAGTTATCGGTGTTATGTCTGATATTAGTATACTATGTATTGCCATATCCACAAAACACATTTAATAAATAAACAGATAAAATACAGTTTATTAACCAAAAACAAAATAAATAGGATTTATAAAAGATATCAATTAAAAGGGGAATAAAATAAAATATTTTTCTTGGCTAATGCGAAGAGGATCAGCTGATGCTGACTCCAGCTTATTACTGAAGGCTGTGCTAGTTTCAGCTTCCCCGTTATTACATCCACAAGGTGCCGGTAAATTATTACTTTTAAAGGTTTTCAATTTTCTCTACTTGCAATAGATTTTGCTGTAACTCTGTTGGGAAGTGTTAACACTTAATTAGGCGTTACTGTTGTACTGTGTTTGTTTCCACAAGCCAATGGATGCAGAGTGAATTGTCCATTCAACAGTGTCGGACTTCCGTGCGGCGGTCTGGGGTTCGCGGGGGGAGGAAGGAACGGCCTTGGTATTGACCTTGGTTTGAACCACGCTACCGCGAGGCGCCACTTGAGTCACGCCCAACCAATGCGGTTATTTTGATTGTGAATTTTGATGCTTGATTTTTTTTGCTACTTGAATCTTAAACACCCGTATAATCTATGTTTAAGGTTACGCGTATCCTTTTAATTGCTAAGAGTAATATTTTAGATGTGTATTTTGCATGTATTAAGTTGCATAGTCTATACTAAACGGCTGAATTTCACTATTGAAAACTACGTCATTTTCCTCAGAGCATCGTTGGGTCAATTTGTCGAACAAGTTTTTAAATAATTTTTGAATTGTATTGTACTTTAATTTTTTTTCGTATTACGATTACATTTTGTAAATTTTTACGAAATTAAAAACATGACTGATGAATATTGAATAGTGACTATTTTATGTAGGAATTCGGAGTCAAAATACAGTCTGTATTGTTGACATGATGACAAAGCTAAAGAAAGGATGACCAAAGTTGCTGATTACAATTAATTAATAAAACAAAAGTGCTTTTAAAGTCTTTTAATGGTGTTTGTTTTTAATTAAAATGGGCCTTTGTCACTTACAAACAATCAAATTAATTTTGACACAATAGCTTAAAAATTACGCACAAAATGACTTCATAGGTCATCACTCTTTTTAAAATAAGGTCATCAAATAGACAATGAACCGAAATACAATCGTTTCGTTTTCTTTTACGTCATGGCCATGCCACTAGTAGTCATTTCACTTTTGGAACTAAAAAGACGCAAAAGAAATTTTCAAAATTTTTTGTCTGTTCGCAAGTACGCGTTTGTTCAGTGTTATCTCCGGAACGGCTGAGCCGATTCTGATCAGACCGGATGCACGTGGGAACATTTTAGGCTACTTTATTAAATTCTGACTTGACACATTATATGATAAACCGGATTATCGCTAATAGATCTAGCTGAACATCATCGTTAAAAAAACTAATAACCTATTTTAATTCTGTATTTATTTTATTCATTAATATTATTTATTTTATTTCATTGATTAACATTTTGTAATTAAAAACATTGATGCCAGTAATCATTGAATAGGGTATTGCGAAGCGTGACCGGCGTGTTCGTCGCGGCGTGTTAGCGAGGACGACGACACGGAGTGCTTCGCGCGTGACATCACTCATTAGCGCGTGTTTGCCAAATGCGGCTAGCGTGGCTACCCTTAGTTGCTACCTACACAACACTGATTTAAGCACAAATTTATAGTGTTATATTAAAGTCTGCGAGAAAAGACCGAATTTACAAAAATATACAACTAAAAATCAAATTCCTCATGCGTATGTTTAGATGGATGTATGGTTGAATGTATTTTATGACGATCCTCCGTAGCAGCTGAACTGATCGTGCTGAAATTCGGCGATTAATTATTTTGGCGCGGACGGAGTCGCGGCCAAAAGCTTGTTTACAAGAAAATGAGTTTAACATGAAATGCAAACGAGATATTGTTGAATTAATTAGCGCTAATTAGCACTTACTTATATCTTGTAGAGTCACCTATAATCTCATTATTTCTGTAAACTCCAATTAGAATAAAAAGTCGTATTGATTGTGATCGAGTGTAGCTTAGTTAATGTTTCTTCCAGATATGTTTAACTTAAGTTTATATGATAATTTCTGAGACCAAAATCTGCATTTAAAATGTTGTTACCACTTTTTCTTTTATCAAAGGTAATGACAGGGATGCCGATATGTTTTATATAGATATTTTGGTCTCGGAAATTCACAGTTAGTTGTTGAGACCGTGTGTATATCCGATCTGAGATGATCCCATCGTTTAAATGATACAAAATATTAAAGCCGGTGTAGTGCCGGTGTGAGCTGTGAGTAACGCGACCTTCTATTCAATTGTCAATCGGCATTCGATATTGTTATTGTTAACGTAAATAAATCGATCAGTCGTGCGACTAGTCTTCCGACTGGGTCGGCCTTGCGCTATCACCGGCAGTGATTCAACAGTATTATACTTGATGCGTCCATCTTTTAATGTTCAATACGCACTAATTATAAATACAACTGATGTGAATCATAATCCATAAATAAATGTATTTGTTTATAGCAAATATTGCGTGCTTATTGACTTTATTTATACGGCAGTAATTTTCATGAAAAACGCTAAGAAATATTTTGTTTCGATATTGAACCTGAAAAATAGTATGAAACGCCTCATTAAAATATTTTTTTCTTATCTATGCCTATCTTACTAATATAATAAATTGGAATGTTTGGATAACTGAAATAAATAGAAATTGGAAACGGTTGTATGGATCTCGCTGAAATTTGTTATAGATGTAGAACATAGCCTGGAAGAACATATAGGCTACTATTTTATTTTTATTCCGTACGGAGGGAATTAGGGGCGACAACAAATTCGTTTCTAAATTCACCGGTTTTTTATATGAGCGTATTTAGTTGTGACTCTGCTTCAGTCACCAACTCAAAACTTACTACGGAATGATTCATTTCCGCACTCCCCGAAGTTTGTCGCTCGCAAAGAAATGTCACCAAAAGAAATATGTCTTGGGGAAATGGGAAGCTCGTAGACGACGCTAAAGCGACAGGGAAGTGTCCGATTTGAATAATATCGTGTTCACATTGCTAGCTTTATTCAGATTTTGTTGTGTAACGACAAGGAAGTTGTCATTGTGGAGTCGAAATATGTCTTATTCCCTGTATATTTGCTATGAATATGAAATGGTT